AACTCTTTATGTAGGAGGCTTTTCAATTGGGGATTGCTACGCGTTTGGGATCGCGTAAGCTTCGAGTCGTTTGAAATTACTCTGCTAGTTGGGATAATTTTTTTTACTCATTTGGGCATTTTATTCAAAAAAAAAGAAGAAAAGGAAAAGTAAATGTGTTGAATTTAAATTGTATTGAAAATTATAAGAAGGTTCAGAAGGAAATAATTTGAACTTAAGAAGAGAACTGAAAATCGATAATTAAAATTTGTTCGGTTATTGGGAGGGAGTCACGTAAAATGATTCGTATATTGTTCGATTAATAATATTGTAGCATTCATATAAGTATAATTATATAAGTAACAAATTCGTATATGAGTAAGTAAGGAATTGATACTACTGTGGGCAAAAAGTAAGGTGAATTTTCATTTTAAACTTCGCGGGCTTAACATTTCGGGCTAGTTCTTTTTTTCTTGAGTTGGTAGGACTGCGAATGACATCTGGGACAAATTTCATGTCAATGTCATCATCAGTAATATATTTACGCTTGTGTTTACCAAACGACCAAGAGTGCATGTTTCGATTTTTACAATGTCTGATTTAATTGAGCAAAGAAGTGCCATCAAATTTTGTTTGCGGAATGAAATTTCAACTGCGGAAACGTTGAGGATGTTGCGGAAGGCCTTTGGTGATTCTACCATGTCGCAGAAAAATGTTTATAAGTGGTACAAAGACTTCAAAGAGGGTCGAGAACGTGTTGATGACTTGGAGCGCTCCGGACGACCATCGACGTCAACAGATGACCAACACGTCAATAAAGTGAAGGAATTAGTGCTCGAAAATCGTCGGTTGACTGTTAGAGACCTTACTGATATGATCGGAATATCAGAAGGATCTGTGAAAACAATTTTGAAAGACCATTTGGGCCTACGAAAAGTCAAATCTCGTTTGGTACCGAAAACGCTCAATTTCTTGCAAAAAAGTCGCCGCGTTGATGTGTGTGAAACAATGCTTTCTGACTATCAGGACAAGCTCAAATGCATGATTACGGGAGATGAGACTTGGATTTATGCTTACGACCCTGAAACAACCGACCAATCAAGCGAATATCGTGCTAAAGGCGAGGCCAGACCGAAAAGAGCACGTCAAAGTCGTTCAAAAATCAAGGTCATGATGACAGTTTTCTTCGATTTTCGTGGTGTGGTGCACTATGAATTCCTTCCACCCGGCCAAACTGTTAATAAGGAATATTATTTGAGCGTTATGCGTCGTTTGCGTGAAGCAATTCGTCTAAAAAGACCAGAATTATAGGCCAACAACTCTTGGTTTTTGCATCACGATAATGCACCATCTCACACTGCACTCGTTCTTCGTGACCATTTCGCCAAAAATTCGACGCATATCGTTCCGCAACTACCGTATTCGCCTGATTTGGCTCCGTGTGACTTCTGGCTATTCCCAAAACTCAAGAGACCACTCCGGGGAACGCGTTTCGAGTCGATTGAGGAGATAAGAGCTGAATCGAAGAAGGCGCTGATGGCTATACCGGAAAGGGACTATTTGGCATGTTTCGAGGATTGGAAAAAACGTTGGCTTAAGTGTATTTTATCGGGAGGGGATTTCTTGGAAGGGGATGACATTGATGTAGAAGAATAAATAAAGATTTTTCATTTTACAAACAAATTCACCTTACTTTTTGCCCACAGTAGTATTTTGACCTCCTTTTTTCTACTCTTTCCTTATTTCGACTCAAGTTCCAAAATTTTTGCTGAGTTGTAGATTCTACCAGGTCATTTACTCGCGGCGCGCGATGATCGAGTTACTACGCCAAAGCACGGTTCTCGCTTATGAAATGACACAATTTACGAATTTGATATTATGTGTTTTCAGTTCAAAAGAAATCGATTGAAATGTAATTTCTTGTAAAAAAAAAATTTCTCTCGAGATTGGAAATTATTAATTTGTTGTTAATTGATACCTTGAAGATTGTATTGAAAAGTTTGAATTGGTAAGATAAAGTAATTTATTCCGATTTTGCACTTTGAATTGATAAAATAAAATGATTTTTCTAATTTCGTACCGGAACCAATTGTTACGTCTCGTGCATAGACTACGAATAGCGAATGTGCGAAACGTACCAATATAATATTAGTGCCTGGTTGGGGCTCACAGGTAATGAGTAATATACGATATATGGATCGAAATGAATGTGTTTTATTATTTTGTCGTACTTACTGCCTCTAGAGTACTTTCGGTATTGTAGATCTCGGTATTTGGATAGGTTGAAAATGAAGTTGCACGTTCTCACTTTTAATGGATCGCGTATTTATTAGGATTAAATAATATAGTTTGACAAGTAGTAATTCAATAGTTAGCCGAATTGTCGAACAGGCTTGCACGCGACTGTAGCGTCGATACGTAAAGTTTATTCGTCAATTGTCGAACTGACGTGTACGGAGTAACAATAATGACTGCCCGACTCTTTACGGGTGGTTCGTCTGATATACATGAATTTGTGCTTAATTAATCGCTGATGTTTCTGTGTAGTTAGGTAATTTTCCTTTCGAGTTCAATGTGCGTAGTGTAATGCTGAGTATGGTCTTTGTGTTTTGCTGCCGTATAGTTTTCCGGTGGACGTGTACATAGTTTTGATTTTACGAAATTCGGAATTGTACTTTTTAGAGAGTGTAAATGAATAATGATACGTCTTGAGACGTAACATGGCCAAAAAATTTCTCACAAGCAAGGATGAGTGAGCAGGGGCATTATCGTGATGCAAAAGCCATGAATTGTTTTTCCACAATTCTGGGCGTTTTCTTCGTATTGCTTCTCGCAAACGGCGCATAACTTCAAGATAATACTGTTTATTGACCGTACGTCCATATGGTAAGAACTCCTGATGCACCACGCCATGGTAATCGAAGAAAACAGTGAGCAAAACTTTGACATTTGATCGAACTTGGCGTGATTTTTTCGGTCTTGACTTATCTGGGCTCTTCCATTGTGACGATTGGACTTTGGTTTCGATATCATAACCATATACCCATGATTCGTCATCAGTTATGACCCTTTTGAGTAAATCTGGGTCGTCGTTGACGTCATTCAACAGTTCTTGAGCGATGCTCATGCGACGGTTCTTTTGGTCAAAATTTAGCAATTTCGGAACAAACTTCGCTGACACACGTCTCATGCCCAAAACGTTAGAAAAAATTTCATGGCACGAGCCAAGCGATATACCAACATCCTCAGCAACTTCCCTGATAGTGATTCGACGATTTTCCAGAACAATTTTCTTCACTGCTTGAACGTTTTCATCAGTTGTTAACGTGCTTGGGCGTCCAGAGCGAGGCTCGTCATTGGCATCTTCCCGGCCATCTTGGCAGAGCTTGTACCACTTGTAAATATTTTTTTTACTCAGAACAGTTTCACCGTATGCCACCGTCAACATTTCAAGTATTTTGGAGCACTTTATTTCATTTTTTACACTTATAACCTTTACGCCTCTCACAACCAAACAAAAAATGCTATACACTTGTAACTTGGTACAGATGTTCGGGAAGAGTGTACCAACATAACAAAACAAAAAAATCGATAATCGAAAGTACGTTGCCCGTGAAATTTGAAAAGTCACCTTACTTTTTGAACACACCTCGTATACTACCGAAACTTTAACTAAAAGAAGTGAGTACTTACCTCATTTTTCTTTGTATTAGACAGTTCTTGGCGGAATTACTTATATTTCTCTTTCTCCCCTCCCCCCCCCCCCCTTTCTCTCTAAAAATTCTACTGCATATAGCTATAAGCATGAGTAATTTCCAAGTGTTTGTTTACGAATTTGATGATTATTAATTAATGCGGACTACGTAATTTTTAATTTTTAAGTCGATAAAAGTCCAGATTCATTTGTATTAATGATACGAAATAAAATAAATAAAGTCGAACTGTCTGGATCGTAATATTTTCCGGTCCCTTACAACTCAATATCTTACATTTTTTCGCGGCTGTTAAAAGGGTTTACACATACCATACGGGGCGAATTCGCTTCATGCGAATTTGTACCTATGACTTCGCGTTCGCCATTTCGTATTAAAGCTTGTTCAAAATTTGTGCAAATTTGCGAAAACAGCGTTGTAGGGATAACCCAGCGTACAGAAGGACCTATACCATCTGCATAAAATCTCTAGTCGCTGCGGCAAAGAGAATTCTGAACCAACTATGCCCAGCAGCGCGAACATTGTAACAGTGAGATAAAGTATCAGCCATTTACAGAGATCGGTTTCATTATTCAGTATTAGCCTTACTACCTTACTTTCCTGCATCATTATCTAAATATTCAATTCATATGATCCTCTCTCTTAAGATAAAAAAGTAGCCTTAGGCATTTTCCTTTCCCAAACATTATTGGTGCTTAGCAATTTTGTTATTTTTTTTTTTTTTTTTTGCCGCGCTATCTGGCTTGTCCTCGATAATTGCAACAATACTTGGTATAATCTTAAACGGCACATTGACATGATGAATCGTGTTGACTCTGTTCGCTGCTTGATAAACGGCAGTTAGAATTGTTATTGAAATTTGCTTATCGTATGTGATGCAGTCATGGAGGAGTGTTATCCTCGCGGTGTTAACTTTAAGTTACGAATTCCCAAAGGTTTACAAAATACAAACGTTACAGAATAGTAGATATTGTTAACGTTTACATAAGAACATATTAATGTGTACCAATAAATCATTAAACAATTACTAATTTTATTATTTTTAATTATATATTTCTCTGTCAAATTCTTGTTTATTCTCAGGAATTTAATTTGTAAATATATCTTGAAATTCTAACTTAATTTTTATAACATATTCTTGTAATATCGTTACAATATGACCTCGGACAGTCAGGGCTTATTTTAATAAATATAAAAATACACATCCATTACTTATTATTAGATAAATAAGATTAAATTAATTACACTTGATTTTTGAGTAATTGAATCTAGTTTATAACAGTTCACTTTAATATTTGTTTCATATAGGTCGAATCCCTTTGTTCTACAACTGGAGAAAGTGTGGAAATAAGAAAATATAAGAGACTTACAGAATTGGAAATTGAAAAGGAGTCGCTCTATTCATTGGACAATGTTCAACCAGGAGATTGCATTGTTTGCTTTAACAAAAATGATATTTACACAGTATCTCGAACTCTGGAAAAACATGGAATCGAAGTAGCTGTAATATACGGAAGCCTACCGCCAGGAACAAAACTAGCTCAAGCTGCAAAATTTAATGATCCTAAGCATCCTTGTAAAATTTTGGTTGCAACCGATGCAATAGGGATGGGCTTAAATTTGTTAGTATGCTTCCAAAAGTTTTTAATGGGCAATTTTTGGCTATTTCATACAGTTTAAAACATCAAATCACAAATTTTGTTCAAAGTTGGTAAACTTGTTACCTATACAGATGTCATCATCTGTGCAGAGTTTTAGATCAAAATATTGATAAGGAGCCGACTTATCAACTATTGAAAAAATATATGAACTTTTTTTTATTAATTCGATTTCTCGGAGACTCATAAAGATATAGACATGATTCTTTTGGTAAAAGACGCGGAAAGAGTTTCACTTTTAAAATGGAAATAGTAAAATACCAAATCATTTATTTATGCCATTGTTATAAACAATTTTTTTTAAAAATCGACGATATCTCAAAAAACGATATATTTTTTTTTTAATTGTTGCACCATCGTGTTCCTTGTCATTTTTTACATTAAAAACCGTTGAGAAAATCAAGTGCCCGCTATTAGGATTAAGACAGCACTAAAATGAAACGAACCGCGCGCTAGCTGCTCTGCCGCTCGGCCGTCCACTACTCGTGCGGTTCCAACGTTGCTTGCGGCAAATGCCTTTAACGAATAAATAATTTCATATTCCATCAGTCTATATGTATTTATTTAAAACAAACGCAGAGAGCAAATGTTTAATTTCAATATTATATCAGATTATATAAAAAAATAGCTCATTTACATTATTTATTTAATCAATTAAATTATATATTATTTAAATAAATACATATAGACTGATAGAATATGAAATTATTTATTTGTTAAATGCAATGGCAGCAAGCAACGTTGGAACCGCACTAGTAGCGGACGTTCGAGTAGCCGAGCGGCTAGCGCACGGTTCGTTTCATTTTAGTGCTGTCTTAATCCTAATAGCGGGCACTTGATTTTCTCAACGGTTTCTTATGTAAAAAATGACAAGGAACACGATGGTGCAAAAATTAAAAAAAATATATCGTTTTTTGAGATATCGTCGATTTTTTGAAAAAATTGTTTATAACAATGGCATAAATAAATGATTTGGTATTTTATTATTTACATTTTAAAAGTGAAAATCTTTCCGCGTCTTTTAACAAAAGAATCATGTCCATATCTTTATGAGTCTCCGAATAATCGAATTAATAAAAAAAAGTCTAATATTTTTTCAACAGTTGATAAGTCGGCCCCTTATCAATATTTTGATCTAAAACTCTGCACAGATGATGACCTCTGTATAGGTAACAAGTCTACCAACTTTGAACAAAATTGGTGATTTGATGTTTCAAACTGTTTGAAATAGCGAAGAATTGCCCTAATGACAAAATGGTTTAATAGTAATAATTTTTTTTTTCTTAAGGCATATTCGACGGATAATATTTTATTCTTTAATCAAGCCAACATTGAATAAAAAAGGTGAAAAAGATATGGATACAATATCAGTATCATCCTCATTGCAAATTGCAGGTAGAGTATTAAAAATATATAAATTATATATTTTATTAAAAATATATAAATATATAAATTGTAACGGGGTGAATACCATTTAATTAATTTATTCGCGCGATCGTACTGAAAGGCGCGCGTAATTACCTACGTCAGACACGAAAATCGGAGAGCAGGAGGGAACGGCTGTCAGTCAACCAACTATCTACAAATACGAAAAGAACACTTCGAAAGTACTGTTAATATCACATACGAGGACTTTTATTATCTCTCAATATTACATCAAATTCGGCCCGCGTGTTTATGTTTACATGCCGCGCGCACGACAACAACATGCAGTGTCGGATCGCTCGCCGCTCTTTGTTTGCCGAGACGTTACATACACGCTTTTTGTCTAATCGAGTGATTAGTCGTATGGCAATGATATCGCGACCGCGAAATTAAGCTGGCCAGCTTACCTTTTATTTCAGCTCTCGCACGGATTGCAAGAGAGAAGAGGGGACCTCGTACAGCACGCTATGTCTTTGTGCACTCTCGTTTGTCGTTTGCGATGCCTCTCGCACGCAGTTTCGCCCTCGATGGCGAAACTCACCGCTCACGCACCCACTTGCACACACTCAAGTCCGTCGAACTATCTCGACTTGATTCCGCGTGGTTGATCTGCCTCCACGCTCCCAGGAAAACTCGGAACAACGTCAGAAGGTTATGCGGCACGGCTCTGTAATTGGTAGCTAATCCTGATCCTTTTGACTAAGCGTGATGATGGCTAATCCTTCGCTCGCGGCTCTCTGTATCGGTAGTTAGTCCTGCACTCTCAATCAGCTCGTCACGGCACTCGGGAAAGCTCGGGAACTATCAACTATCCCACCTTGCTCAGCTCAGCGACCGGATGCTAATCTTCGACTCCTCTCGGCGATATCGATAGCTGATCCTCGACTGCTTCATTTTCATACGCGCGCGTTCCGTCCCGTCGCGTGCCGAATTACCTCGTCACACATTTTCCCTAACCGGTAGGTGCTGCCCTCGCGGGCAGCCGCACGATTGGGCCGTTAGCGCTAATAAGACGTTTACCGTCAAAAAATATTTTATTAAAAATATATAAATATATAAATTATATATAATATATTAAAAGTATATAAATTGCAGTATTAAATTGCAGGTAGAGCCGGACGTTATGGAACTCAATGGGAAAAAGTAAACTTGCATTTTACCTCATTTTTACAAAGAAAACAATTCTATATGCGTAGATAATACTTTTTGAAATTTTTAAAATAGGGTTACGTGACTACTTTCAAATCAGAAGATTTACCCACTTTAAGATATTTGTTGAATCAAACACCAGAAATCATATCTCAAGCTGGATTACATCCTACTGCTGATCAAATAGAATTATATGCTTACCATTTACCGAAAGCACCTTTGTCAAATTTAATGGTAACAAATATCGAAGGTAGATTTTAATGGATAAATATACACAACTTATGTTATTTTTAGGATATTTTCGTGTCATTATGTACAGTGGATGATTCTATGTATTTTATGTGCAATGTTGATGATTTTAAATTTCTTGCTGACATGATTGAACATGTTCCTCTTTCTTTGAGAAGTCGCTATGTATTTTGTTGTGCTCCAATTAACAGAAAATTGCCTTTTGTTTGTACTATGTTCTTAAAATTTGCAAGACAGTATATAAAAAATGAACCAATAACATTCAATTGGCTTTGTCTGCATGTCGGGTGGCCGATGAAATTACCTAGAACTCTCATTGATCTTGTACATTTGGAAGCTGTATTTGATGTATTGGATCTTTACTTGTGGTTAAGGTATGACACAAAGAAAAATTGAAGTAAAAGTTTTAATATTACGAATAACCTCAATAATTTGTACAACTTTTAGTTATCGCTTTACAGAATTATTTCCTGAAGCAAACATTGTAAAAGATATGCAAAAGGAGCTTGATGCGATAATACAAGAAAGCATATATCAACTTACTAAATTACTGAAAAATTCAGAGTCAAGTTTGTAACTTTCTTACCAAAAGGTTTTCAATATTATATTTTTTATTTTCCTCGTTTCTTCAAATAATTTTTTCTACTAAGGTATGACAAGTGCTGCATTTGCTGCCATTGATGAAGAAAATTTCGAACTGAATAGACAAAAAAATAATTATTTACAAGGTATATTATTTCTGCATAAGATATTTATTAGTATCATAATTCTTTTTTTGCTTTACTCTGAAAATTTTGATCTTTAAATTTTAGAAACATCCGTTGATACTGGTGATTTGATGGGATCGCATAAAGGAAAATTAACTGAAAGATTATTAGCCCAAGGCCTTTTAACTCCAAGTATGTTACAAGAATTGCAGCGCGAATGGTTAAAGGTAGGAAATAGGATCACGAAATGTAAAATTTGAAATAATTGAACTGTATTTTTACAGAAATTTCAGAAAAGTGAAGATTGCGATCGCACAACGAGAAGGAAGTTTACAAGAAAACCTAAATAAATGAATATAGTTCTAATTGTAAAAAGTGAAGGGTGAAAATAAGTTAATTGATATGTGATCAAATAACATTTAAAATAGTTGATATGTTATGGAATTAAATTTACTTTACATGTATTATAATCATATTTATAAAAAAACTTGTAGAATATGGTGCGGCATAATCTATTTTTTTCCAGCATTTATGAAAAACAAGACCTCTACGTATTTGACTGGAATAAAATAGATCAGTATGCAACAATAGTTAAAGTTTAATATGATTATAGGCCAATTCCATTCTAATTCATGCGATCCGTTACAATTGGTTTAGATTTTCAACTTATTGTGTAAATGTATTGTAAAGTATATTTAATGATAAGTGTCTCAAAGTTTTACTCAAATATTTTTCTACAGTCCATCAATACACACAAAGCAATTTTCTATTGGGAGTACAAATAGAAAATCGCCGTTTTTTCTAATAATTTGAGGTTTTATTGTAAAAAACTCGTTACAATCTCATTCTTCAAAATAATTTCCATCCTTAGTCACAACTTTTTCCCATCTTTCTGGCAGCTTCTGAATTCCTCTTCGAAAAAACTGTTCGTCTTTTGACGCGATCCACGAATCGATCCAATTTTTGGTTTCTTCGTAAGAACGAAAGTGCTGTTCGGCCAGGTCATGCGTCATTAATCGGAACAAGTAGAAATCAGAAGGGGCGATGTCAGGAGAGTACGGCGGGTGCGATAGGATGTCCCATTTCAAAGTTTGCAGGTATGTTTTCACGACCTTGGAAACATGTGGCCGAGCGTTGTCATGCAGAAATATGACCTTGTCGTGCCTTTCCGCGTACTTTGGGTGTTTTTCCTTCAACGCTCGACTCAAACGAATCAATTGCGTCCGATAGAGGGCTCCTGTGATGGTTTTGCGTGGTTGCAGGAGTTCATAGTAAATTACGCCAAGCTGGTCCCACCAAATACACAGCATCAGCTTCGAGCCATGAATGTTTGGTTTCGCTGTCGAAGTTGATGCATGGCCGGGAAGACCCCACGATTTTCTCCGCTTTAGGTTGTCATAGTGTATCCACTTTTCATCGCCGGTCACAATGCGATGCAAAAAACCCTTCCTTTTTTGCCGTTGGAGGAGTTGTTCGCACGTGACAAGACGCCGTTCGATGTCCCTCGGCTTCAGCTCGTACGGCACCCAACATCCCACTTTCTGGATCATTCCTAAGTATTTCAAGCGATGGAAAACGGCTTGCTGAGTTACGCCCAATAAATCCGCAAGTTCCTGTTGCGTTCTGCAAGAATCTTCATCCAGCAAAGCCTCCAATTTCGCATCCTCGAACTTTTTTACGGGTCCGGGACGATCCTTGTCATCTACGTCATACTCGCCATTTCTAAACTTTTGGAACCATTCCCGACACGTTCTTTCACTAATACAGTTGTTACCATAAGTTTCTACAATCATTCGACGCGCCTCAGCTGCATTTTTTCCCGAATGAAATGCCAAAAGCAACACTTCCCGCAAATGTCTCCTGTTCGGCTCGAATTTTGCCATTTTTGCGCACGAACAAAACAAAGCACAGTAAAAATAGACAAGGGAGGTGATGAAGAGTTGTTGACAAATGCCTCAGCTGGCTATGTAACGTTCCTGTTAACAATTTTTTACCGACGTGCAATACTGACGCCACCTATGGGAAAACGGCGGTTTTCTATTTGTACTCCCAATATATGAAAGTATTAAATATTGTTATGCATACATAAAATACTCAATCAATATTTAAGCGATATTTTTCGAATTTTGCTTTAATATTATATAATAGTTTAAAAAATATATTCTTTTTACATTTTTAAAACGTTTTCATCGCGATACTCTGATAATAACTAAAAGTTTTTTTACGTTTTTTCCCTTCATTATCTAGATCATCGATCAAAGTTTCTATGTTGTGATATAGTATCTGTGACGTCGTGGCAACGACACATCTCAGGTGCACCTGAGGCTTGGCGCAGTCTCAGGGTTCTGTTGTTGCTAGTCTGCGATTTCGCGCATAAACTAGCGGGTTCACTAATCGAAAATTAATAAAACCGAGGGGGACAGTGCCACTAAGCCTATACTTCTGCTCTTGGATTCCAATCAATAGTTGTAATCCGAGAGCGCGAAGTATCCTGGGTCCTATCAATAGTAGAACCCGATTTTCCTATTACAAATTGTACTTGGAGCCTATCAAAAGTTGTCTCCAAATACGGAAAAAGGAAGAATTTTTGAATTTCGAGTTATTTTGAAGAGAGAGGAGAGATAGATAAGTTACGAAAAAAATTATAAGTTTTATTTGCTTACTCTTTTTTATGGATTTTTGCCACTTTTAAACTTGCGAGTCCTAATTGTATTGGTCGATTTGATTTGTTCCACTTCTTGGCTGCTTGGCTGCTTGACTTTTTCTTGATTCACTTTGTAACGGGGATTTAGACCGCTACAATATATTAATTAAACCGAGATCAAGTAGTGGCTGGCACAAATGCAGTTCTTCGCGGGACTGCGTTCTGCTACGCAAGACCGGCCCAGTAGTATAGACCGCCAATTGGCCCGCGTGGGTCACGCAGCTTAAATCGCGAAAGTTGAGGGAAGCGATAGAAAGGAAAGGTAACCCGAAAGAAAAGCCATGCAGTTTTAGTAGTATACAAATATATATAGTTTATGTACGTGTTAGTGTACAGGACGAGTGAGCGGCGTGATAGGCAAAGCGAGAGAGAGATCCAAGGAACGGTCGGTACTTACATTAAGGGGGTATCCTGCTTTGGAAAGCCTAAAAACCGTTTTTTTAGGGAATTTTTTTAAGATAGAAAAAAATAACCAACTACAGCGAGCTTTCAGGACTATTTTAGTATATAATAGAACATTATAAAAAAATTTTTTGAAGAAAAATATCAAAATGCAACCGATTATTAGACACATTTGTTGCGCAATCCGTAATCCGAGTCTTCTATTGACGGGAGTGGTAGAGCTCTTAATTTTGATCTGAAACAGAAAGCCAAAAAAAGATTTCATTTTCATACATGTATTTTCTATTTGAACCAAGAAAAATTTGAAGAAATTGTGAAATTTAAAATTTTTTCCGAATTTGAAGCAAAAAGTGCTTTTTACGAGAAAAAAAATCTCTTTATTGTGCTGAAAAAGTCTTTTAGAAATTTATTTCCAAAAACCTTTTTGGTTCATATAGAAGAGTAGATAAAACTGAAGCTAAAAAACTTCGGATCGTTGCGATAGCTTATTTATTTTTTTTTACAAACACGCCCGCCAGTTTAGAAAAAGTGGAAAAACGAAAACTCGAGAAAAAGCGTTTTGAAGTTTATGAACTGGAAAAATGTTAATTTTCGACTACTTACGGCAATAATTCGCTAATGAGCTATTCCTGCGCCATACAATAGACCTTCAGCTTCCTCATGGAACTCATTTTGTTGAAGTTGTTCAAGTCTACGGGCCGTACGAGTTTCCTTACTGGAAAGAGACGAACGTCGTCTTTCTCGTTCAATCTGTTGTATGTCGACATTATCCGCAAACATTTTACATTGCTGGCCAGTTTTCAAATTGAGTAATTGCATGGTATGCACAACTGCTGAATATCCTTCATTGAACATTCCTGCAGCCATATACGCAGCAATTTCTACAATTTTTTGACCAGAATTGAGATGTTTCGGAGTTATGCGTCAGACAGTGGAGTTGAACGATTCGTTCGAATTTTGCGTGTGTCCACCTAAGCATCACGTCATGAGATCGTCATTCGAAAGTTCTTCGTAGATTGGACGAATATGTTCCTCCACTTTTTCGTCAATCAATCGAGCAGAATGTTTGAAGGATGCAAGACGATTCGTAGCTTCGGCTTTGCGCCATTCACACCAGCTGTCAGTGCCTGTCGGACAATTCTCGTGACAAGGAGATTCATCAGTTGAACAATAATGATCCAGCGTTGCCATTACAGCTTTTTTATATCATGGACAGAATGAATATTCCTTCGAATTGCTAAACCATAATATATTGTCAACTTTTTGATGAGATTCTCTGTTAGACGCTTTTTTCCTCCAAGCTTCTCTTCCTTCCTTTTATTTCGGAGTCGAGTACCCATGCGCTTTTGTACGTGTCCCACGCACTCATTTTTTGTCACAGGGTAATCATCACCATATGGATTCATTTTTACAATACCATTGAAAGTTTTCGAATCACCATCGCCGATGTAATTCGTATACTTTACTCCAAAATTTTCAACAGATCTCAAGAACATCTCCACGATTGAATCTACCTCCATCTTCTCTGCTGAACCATCGTGATTTGAAGAGCATGATTCTTTATGATCATTATCCCATTTTTCAAATTCTTCTTCGTCTAATATATTCTTTTGTAAAGCACATGAATGACAATATGCAATGAGCGTTGTAACACCAAACAATGAAGTAAAACCTCGTTTTTTCTAGGATCCATCGCCAGAAACTTTCAAACAGTCAGCAGATCTATCATGTTCTATATTTATTTCTTTCTCTTCTTTGACAGTTTTTTCACAAACGCTTTTGAACATTGATTTTGACGCTGTATATAAATGCTGCACAATTTGATCATACGTTGATTTTGCTAAACCTTGACATATAAGTCCACGAAACATATTAATACCTTCTCGTCCAACACCGAAAAGCCTCATAACAAAAACATTTCGTCTATTTATTTCGAATCAAGTGTTTATAAACGGTCCTGAATTTATTTCTCTATGACCACACATACACGATAATACAATTTTGAAACCTAAGCCTCGATGTCCGCTCTCTGAAAATTGTATATTTTGTTTGCAATATCTGCAAATTACGATATCAGAAATTGCAAAAAATACTGTGACAAACTCGATTATTCGATAACAGTGAGTTAGATGCACAATGATGTTCTCGGTGCTAGCGGTGGCTAATTTTCTCTCAGTACTACTTGTGTTGCACTCTGTATCGTCTGATTCTGTGAATTGTGAATTGATTACCATGGAATTTTCGTTTCCGTAGCTTTGCAGCACGATTAATACTCAATTTGTCACTTTTCGAATAACTAGACATGATTATATTGAAGCGCACTCGTCAATAGTCAGAGCAGAACTAAACGTTACGCCACAAACAGCTCTATAGGAAACAGGTACACCCAGATTATATACCGATGACACATACTAAGGTTCAAAAGACGCTTCTATGAAAGCAAAATATTATTTCGAACAGCTGCTGAACCTTTTCAGGT